GTCTACACTGCTATTTAATCCATATCTGGGTGGACGAGTATGAATTCATGCTCTTTTCAAGAATATTAGAGTAAACGTTTACTACTTTCAAATATTTATATTCGATAACCAAGCAAGAATCGTCTGTTTTTTTCAATTTGTAAGATTCATGTAAAATTCAATACGGTCAAAAAGAATCCAGTTGAAAAACTGTATCCTGAGGTGCTGCAGTTTTATTTCTAGCTGACGAAATGAGGAGAAAAAACAAAAACAACAGAGAAAAAGATGAATCCATAACACACATGAATTTTCGTAAAACGGTAGGGGAGGTGACGTGAATAAACATTAAATCTTACCAACACCAACTACAAGTTTTGTTTGTTTGACAAATATTGATGACAGCATTAATATTATTTACGTTCACCAGATGTGCGTGTGTGTGTGTAATAATACAGAGACGCAATATACTCAGAATTGCTGAAAAGTTCTCGTTAGTTTACTTCTTAATAATGTCTGACCAAATGACACATTTTCAGAATTGTAGCCGAAGGGCTTTTTGGTCGGGCTTAGAATTTTTCAGTAGCTTCCCATAAGTAAATAGACAGATCATTATTAATTCAGATTTGCCATTTAATAACGTTTTTCTTATTGACAATTACTCAAGTTACTATTAAAAAATGGACAAGTGATTTAATGGAAGAAACTAAAAAAACAATCCTATTTCAAGATGTCAGCGTTGCAATGTCTCTTAAGCAACTCCTAAAATTCTTAGATTCACTTAGAAAATAACATTTTAAAAACTTAAATTTTTTCAAACACTTGTTTTTTTTCTTTCTTTTTTTAACAATCTCTATTTTATCTTCAAATGATTCTTCTAAGTTGATCATAACGAGTTACGAGTCGATTTATTTGTAGAAATTCAACAGTATCAAGGCACCGTATCATTGATAAAATTCTTGCTTTGTTTGCTTCACAGAAAAAGTTTGTCTGACCTAATTTGTTGGTAACTCTCTTCATCATTTAACATTTATGAAAATACATTTTTTTTGTTAAATGCTTGTCTGTGTTCTGTCTGTAAATTTATTCACACATACACAGATATGGATATGAACACACATATGTATTTGAATAAGCGATTGAATATGTGCGTGTTTGGGGGAGGATACGCGTGCTTACGCACGCACAATCACGCGTTTGTAGTTCGAGAGATATTGTTTAGTAAGATATGAGGAAAAACAAGATCTCTTGAATTTCCATTGTAGATTTGATCCGAATCGTTTACTTTCGTTTGCTTTGTTTGCTTAATGGCTTATCAACACCTTATGGGTCATTTTATTCCGAAATTTTATTTTCCTTTAAGCTTTGGTAATTTTTTTTTCAAAAAATATATTTCTGGTAATTTTTTGTAACGTATTTTTATATTTTCATGTTTTGACCCCAGATCCGAATTGTACAAACATTAAGTAAGATGATCAAGTTTCGTGGTTCAATAGACTACAAGCATGGGGCAGCCAGTGACTATTAAATGCACTAAGCTTTTTTTTTTCTGCTTGCAAGACTAATTTATTGCCTACTTCTTTACAAGACATTCAAATGTTTACTGAGCTTAATTTCGTTTAGTACAAGATTAGTGCAAATAGTTGAAGGAAAATAAGCTGTTATCATTTCGCACCAGTCACTCTCCGATGTCACCAGAAAAATTATTTTATTTTATACGGACAATATCTACACTAGCAAGACAAAACGTGATTGATTTTTACTATAGTTGTATGTTTAAGGAAAGTTAATTTTAACTAATTTCATTTCATTTTTGATGTGGTTTAAGTATCCCACATTGTTTCAGTAAAAGCAGTGTATATATTGAAATAGCGCAGTTTTATATTAATCATCTGGAATCATGTCGTTTAATACATAAACTAGACATGATTTTATTTTTCATATTTTACATTGGTTTTCTTGCATTGTACGAGGAATAAAAGGCAAGAGGGATGTTTTGATTTTGTTACTCATTAACTACTTTAGCCCAAGTGTATGTCATATTTTATCAGAATACATAAACTACGCTCGAAGACTTTTAAATTCTATTAACACCAGATCTGTTACAACATCTAAATTTGTCAATCTGGCTAACACCTCCAAGACATATTTATTAATTCCTGAATATTTCTTTTACCTAAATTTTCGTCGCAGTTACTCTGACTTAGTTTGAGGCCGTTATTAAACAGCGCAGATACGACATAATAAACAACAAAATGTAGGCGGGAAACGAGATGATATTAATGCCTCCAGGCAAGTTATGAATTTCAGTAATCGCATCAACGCTAGACAAGGCGGAGGTTTATATACTTTCATATTCAATGTGAAAAACAGTTTATATAATCTTTAAAAGATTTGAGGACGGTATTTTTAATGGTAAGAATGCGTGTCTCATAAGCCGGCTTAAAAGTGAGGAATACTGATAATAATAACTTCCTCTTGGGTGTTTAGCCGTATAGTGGTGACGTCACTTACGACTGTGTAATGAGTTCGATCCTTACTTATTGGACCGTCACTTATGGCCTTAAACTAAGTTAAGTTTAGCAATTATATCAGATCTTGCTGATATTCAACCCCTGTTGAAAAGCAAAGAAGTCACATGAAATATGTTTTAAGTTTTAATATACACTGCATAAACTAAAATCAAGACATCGATATTTTTCTTTTTCACTGCAAAGAACTTAATCTTAAATTGAATATCAATATGTTGAATCTGATGCGAGAAAAAGTAAAATATTTATATTACGTGGTGATCGCATATTTTAGATTTGCTTTAAACTTTGAGTAGCGACAGAGCAGATATCGATTCATGAGCATCACATTAATGAAGTTAGAGAGCCACATTCAGTGAATTTCGATTCAGTTTTTTGTCAGAACTCAATTGTGCTTAGTTAAAAGATAATGTATTCGCTTACAATAAAATATACCAGTAAAGGAAGCAAACAAATTGGCAAGACTTAAATTCGCGCCTTCGTACAAAACCTTTTAATTCGAATGTCGTAATATCCTTTAACTTTTGTTATTAATATGTATTTATTCACCAAACTTAATAAGATAATAGATTAGGGAATCCATTGAGAATTGAAATCTCTGCATTATCAGTGTTTTTATTATGCTAGTGCGTTAACTATTAATCTACAGCAATATACCTATACAGATGTTTATTAACTTAGTCTAGTAAAGGGACAAGTTAATAACAACCTGATAATGGGATCAACAATAATACCAAAGATTTGCAATGTTCTCTTGTAAATGGTTGGCAAGAATTTTGATATTATTAGGAAAAAAGAAAAGAAAGAAGGCATCTGAAATCAACATTTATTCCATTTTTATGAAGAAAACTCAAGCGTCACCCAAGAAATTTTGAAAGCAGGATTTGAGGTTAAAAAGAAAAAGAGCAAAGGAAGTTCCGGAATTTCGAAAGATTTCACCGAATTTCCATTGAATAACAATGACTAATGGTACAAAGCGTTTTTTTCTCTCTCTCTCTCTCTCTCTCTCTCTCTCTCTCTCTCTCTCTGTATATATATATATATATATATATATATATATATATATATATATATATATATATATATATATATATATATATATATATATATATATATTTATGTGTGTGTGTCGTGTAATTTATATATATGTTATTTATATATTATATATGTGCGGTACTTATTGGAAAGCGCTCAATATCAGTGATAGAGCTAGTTCTTAGTTGTATGGATATATTATATCCATACAACTATACACACATATATATATATATATATATATATATATATATATATATATATATATATATATATATATATATATATGTAGGTTTGCTCTACGGTTGTATTGAGCTCTTTTGTTAGTTAGTTGTTACTCGTATCAGGGTTTTTTCTTTGGGCTTCAGACCTGCATCTGTGCGATTTTTTTGTCGGCAGAAGTTCATGTTTGTAGCTCTTTCTTTTTTTAAATTCTTTTTTTAAAACCTTTTTTCCCTCGAGATTGATTTGATTAGCAAATCAAAAATTCGAGGGTTTTTCGAAACGAGTCTAGTTATCTATACATATATATATATATATATATATATGATCAGTCGGAGGATAGAGAGAAGGGGAACGGAGATCACACGGAGATAGAGACAAACTGACATCCACGTAGAAAAACAGAAAAAGAAACTTAAGTCTACACATTTAAAAGTTACAACGATCACATAAAAACGCGCACATACAGACTAAACTTTCGCTCCTTATCTACAACGCTTTTTCTTCCATTGATATCGATTCGAATTTTGTAAAAATGGGTCGCTCCGTTGATACGGAGAATAAACAAGATTTTATATATAGTATTTTTCTATATTTCGGGTTCTAGTTTTTGCAAATTCAACCTGAGATACTTGTGTTAACTTCGCTGCATTAGTGCCCTAGTAAAATACCAATGCTCTTAACAGAATAGAATTCACTCTCTTCTGCAGTTACTACTAAACTTAATGAAACCTGTAAAATATTATTGAAGAGATTAGCATTGATAAGTAACCGTCATTGTCATGAAAAAAATAGCATGGATAACCAAGCATATTGCCTTAACGATATACTAATTCGATTGTGCTTTTAAATTGGATTTTCATATTAAAATGAAATGACATTAGAGGAAATTAAATTCCGTTCCGGTAAAGTTCGAACAAAAAAAAACATAACCTTTCTTTATTGACAATAAAGCGAATAAACAAAATAGTATAACTTGGAGATGGACATTTTGAAGTTATACTTCAGATTTGTCAACTATTTACCTTATTGACAAAAGGCATAAATTCTTTTGAACCCTTTATTTTACGTCGCAAAGATTTGAATGTTTTTAATAACTTTGTGGGTTAAAATGTAAGCGTTTATTCCATTTGAGGCTATTGTCAAATCCCAATGCATTCTGTACGATTACACTATGCACGAACAATATAAGAAAGAAAATTTTCTACCCGGTTCTTGTCTAAAGACTTTTCTTACCTGCAAATATTCAGAGTAGCTCAGTGGCAGTTGAGGTTCATGTTTGGAAGTCATCTTTGCTACAATTCTGTCAGCAGTAGTACAAAATCTCCAACTGTAAACATAAGAGGAAATTTAAAACGATTTAACAAAAATAATTCTCAAAATGCAGTTAATAAAGAAACTTACTTTGATCCTTAATTGTACATCGGTAACTTGACTGAAATAACTCATGAACTTTTTCAAAAATTCTGATTCTTATGTCAGGAAGAGCGCTGTTAAAAATTATTTGCCTTCCGCATGCAGACTACAGTAGTTGAGTGTCAACTGTAGAACAATTTTTTTTAGTAAGGTGGATTCGATATTCTTTGTCTTATAACTATAACTTTGTGTCATTGTTTAATAAATATTAATATTCGATGTTCATTTAAACCACCATCCATAAGATAATGACTCTGTTTCTTGCTTTCTGTCCCTGAGAGTAAATTTCATTCAGTGATGATAAAATCATATGAAAACATTTAATAAAATATCCAGAACTCAAGTCAGCCTAAAATCTGTTTTCTGATTCATAAATAAATAACTTTAAAATGTTTGACCTTTTAACTTTATGTCCTGATCACTGTATTGCTGTAAATTAAAAAGATTGTTGTAATTAAAATCAGTAAAAGAAACTTATCTTCACGAGAAGGACAAATTTTAGATTCGCCAGTTATTAATAATGAGTTATAAATTTAACTTCGTGTGTGAAGCACCCAGTAAAAATCAAACTTACAACATTAATAAAGGTCCACAAAACCTGCAGTGATTGTAACTTTCTTTTAAGCGCTTCATTCTTGTAACCTTAGGCCAGACAGAATTGATCTGAATAAATATTTATAAATATGACTGAGTGATAACGTAAGGCCAGTTAAACGATTTCTCGCACCAAGAAATAAATTTCTTAAACTTTTACAGAAATGTAATTTTTTTCAAGCAAAATTCAACAAATGAAATGTAAAACGTGTTCAGTTTTTAGATTAAAAGATTTTATTTGAGGTTAATGCAATTTAAAAATAAATGTGCTGCATCAATATGAGATCATCTATGTTTCGCGTCCCTTTAAGACATGACTGTCTAAAACTGCTTAGCAGGTTTTCTCTTGCCCTTAGCAATGTTTCTCCTTTTGTTAAGGCTTCTGACCCTCGTTCCATCATCCATTCCCGCAAGCTCGTATGTGGGTGGCTCGCTGCCTTCCCTTATTTGTCTGGCTCTCAATATGTTCGGGGTGGGTGTAAGTTTTTCAAAATCTCGTTTCTCCTTATATGTCCGAGAAATTTCAGCTGCCTCTTACTGATTCTGACACAAATGTTCTTTCTGTTATCATTTTCTTTAAAACAACCTCGTTGCTTACTCACTCATTCAATGGAACTTTCATCATCCTTCTGTAAAACCACTTTTTAAGTTGCCTCTAGTTTTATCCTTATCTGCTACGAAAATTTCCAGCATTCGCTATCATATAAGAGGATGGATATCACATAACAATTTAGCACTGATTTCTTTGTTTCAAAGTAAAGGTTTCTGCTTCTCAGGAATTTGCTTAGCTGTTGTGGTCTCCAGTTTCTCTATTTCAATGTCTATTCGGATTTTGGTGTTACATTTCTATACTGTGTTAAAACATTTCCCAGATATTTAATCTCCTGTAATTGCTTGATGTTGACATCCCCAATTTGAAACTCGAACCTTGGACTTTTCCTCTTGCCTATGACCAGACTTTCTGTCTTATTGCAATTGGTTGTTAGTCCTTTTTACTCGCTTTCTTTTACTACCTTGTCTAGGATCACCTGTTTTATTCTTTCTGTATCAGCCATCAACACAGTATCATCTGCATCTCTTCTATTGTTAAAACCCAGGTAGGATCTCCGGCTCAATTACAATAGCTTCACCGTAGATGTTGAATAAATCTAGGGAGAAGACACATCTTTGCTTTACACCCCATTCTATTTTTGTCTAACTACTCAATTCATTTTCTATATGAACGAGGTGTTTTGCTTTATTATTCTATGGATTATCCTACACATTCTTTCCAAACAGATTTAGTTTTCATCGCACTTAAAATAAGTACGTAAATACAATGTAATGTAAATTTTCTGTCAGAATGTGTAGGAAGTATGATTTATTCTTCTATCTGAATTTAGGTATTTTCCCGATACGACGCAAGATTTAGAAAGTCACTTTTCTTTAAAACTTCGAAAAGTTCGTATTGTCAAGAGGCTGAGTTGTAAACATCATGCAAATATACAAAACTAACATACAATATACATAAATTGCAATTGAAGTTAAAAACAAAAGATTTGTGTGCGTATGTGTGTGTGTGTGTGTGTATGTGTGACATAACGATATATAATTTTATATATCAAGAAACACTACTGAGAAAATAGTATAGCTTTGTTGATACCTACTCCGGTGAAATCCTAACAGATGAAACGCGTCACAAAAACGTTTTTTCCAGTTTGTCATATTATTTTCTTATATATATATATATATATATATATATATATATATATATATATATATACGTGAGAGTTTAATGAAACGTTCTCGTCTCATGCAAGAAACCCTGAAGCCCTTTCCCTCAAAAACCCGAAGCGCTACCCAAACATTTCTTCGAACTTAAATCCCAAAATGCCCAAAACGTTGTAAAAACTGAGGTTTTTTATTTCATGGTGTTTTGAGAGACACGGAAACCGTTAAATAAACTTGATAGATTAACAGACTGGTGAAGCTGCTCAAATTTCACGAATACTTTAGATGTCTGTCCGAATTTATACATTGTTTAATTACCGGCTTTTAAGACGCATGGATGCAGTGAAATATTTGGATTGTGCTGGGTGCTTCTTTTCAGCTGACAAATGAATGCCTTTTGTAATTCTGAAATAAAAAGTAACAGAAAAATGTTTTATGATAGGAATTACATTTGAATGGCTGTTCGGTTATGCACTGTTTTTTTAATCATCGCAGCGATGGGGAAAAAACACTGAAACTCCAATAAAACTATCAAATTCCCATCACAAACAAGTGTATCCGGAAATTAAGCGGATAGATCTCTTATCTATCCATAAAAATATTTTAAAACTGCAAACTTATATTAAAATAAAAATTTACACAAACGACTTTAGAGAGAAAATGACAGTGAAACTATTTGAAGCGTAATTCGAACTTGTTTGATTGTATCTATTTATCTCAGAGAGTATCAGATCGATATTTTTCGTTAGAGCGTGTTTTCCAAAGAAATACGAATACCTTGCTTGCTACAGAAAATTTCTGTTTGAACTGAGTAGAAACATTAACAGGTAATATCCTACTTTTTAAAAGCTACAGAATTTTATTAAATTGAATGAAATGATCATCATCCATCAACCCTGTTACTCGACAGTAGTCTCAGTCACCGTCCATCTCCATTGACACAAAAAGGCAGATTTCTCCTACTTGGGACGCTTGGATGCCAAGTTTAACAAACAGATTACCAATAAATTGGTAAGACCTTATAAAAATGTATCAATATATCTGGAACAGGAAGTACCTCATGAAATACATAAAAATAAGTATCTACAAATCTGTCTCTTTGTTCTTAAAGGGCAGATTATTTACCAGATTCATTTCCGTCATATCAAATACTTTCACCAGCGTTGCCTCCGCACCATTCTCAGTGCGCACTGGAGTAGTTTCACTACAAACACTATAGTCCTCAAGACAGCCAGTAACAGATGCATTGAAGTTATGTGGCAAAATGCACATCTGAGTTAGACAGCTCATCTGTCGAAAATGGAAGATAATTTCTACCAAAGACTCTTCTATTCGGGAGACTAGTCTCTGATCTGCAGAGCATTGGGGGGAGGGGCACCAAAGAAATAAAGTGACTTCTTAAAAAGGGCTCTCATCTTATATAGTTATCAGTTACACACGATGTTTGACCACTTCTACTACATTGTTATTGTTTTTACTTGCATGAAAATACAAATGGCTTTTAAGCTGAATCTGCTATTCCTTTCAATATTTTGGTCTGATATTCCAGATTTTTGTGAGGGATTTTCAAACCTTTCAGCGTCTTTTTGATCCATTCTTAAAACTTTTACTTGGCTTACATTTCATACATTGCTTTGTTGCTAACACACCATAAAATAGTCGGGAAAACGCTCATCATTCATATAGAAAAGAGATGCTCGTCCCAACGTAATTGATTTCTCATAAACATTCGGTAGAGATTATGCTAGTTTTTAACAGAACTTCTGTGTCAGCCATGGGTTATTTCCAGCTCCCTTTCAAAATATGACGAAGGAAATTTATGGAAACATTCAAGTTGCATAATACGGCGAATATAAATTGTCCATGTTTAGGAGTAGAAAGGAGAGAAGAGAGAAGAAAAGAAGAAAACACTATTATCTTGGTCTCGGTTTTAAATTGTCTCTGAGAACAAACTCAAGATTCTAAATCTCCAAATGTATTTGCTGTTGTTTATAACCTAAAAGAAATTCTTGCTCCTAGTTTGCCATTAACATGGACTGAGCTGCCGAGATATTTAAAACAATGGATAACTTGTTATAGCTTGCTTTTTATAAATATTTAAGTCAAGTTAAGATCTTTTTCTAGGGCAACTTGGTGCATTATTAGTTTTTTTAATTGTTGTAAACCCCAAATATCATACCCAGAATCAAATACATTTACTATATTTTTCTCTGTATAAGTAATTAGATCCCAGTTATTAACATATCATATCTCCCTTTCGAGGGTGATACAAACTTTGTACTAAAATTAATTCTTGCCTGATTGAAAATGTTACTAGAAATTTGATATTTTTAAAGAAGTTCCTACTTATGAATTTTAAAATCACTTATGAGTATTGTGCTGAAATAAATAGTCAAAATTTTTGGCGTACCAAGGTTACTCTGTTCAATGCTATTTTCAGTAACAAATGCATCTAAAATTAATGCTCACTTTTATTTTCTTGTGCAAGACTTATATTAACAAAATTTACAGGACATCTCAGCAGAAACTACAAAGTATATGCATTAACAACGTCAAATGCTTTCCTCATA